ATTTATGTATTTGGCATTATTATTATTATTATTATTATTATTATTATTGAGAGAGAGAGAGAGAGAGGAGAAAGAGAGAGAGAGAATGAATGTCCATGCCTCAGTGTATGTGTGGAGGTCAGAGGACCTCAGGAGTTGGCTCTCTCCTCCCTTACAGGCTTCTAGGAGACCAGGTGTCCCTCTTTCAATGCCCTATGCCCCTGCCTGGCTGGCCCAGGCGGCCAGGCAACTCTCCTGTCTGTGTCTCCTGTCTCCCCAAAGGAGCACTGGAATTACAGTGCACATCACCCCATCCAGTGTTTGTATGTGAGTCCCAGGAATCAAACTTAGGTCATCAGACTTGCATGGGAATTGCCTTTACCTGTGGAGCCATCTTGCCAGTCCCTAGAAATGAGATTCTAACCACAAATGTGATGCATCCTTTAAAAGCATTTGATAATTATTACCACCTGGTAGCCACAGATTTCAGTGTGTTTGTTGGTCTGTGCGTGCTTTGCCTCTCGAGGTGCTCACCAGCACTGAGCATCTTAAAGGAAAATCAGCAAAGCCAGAATTGCATGTGTGTATGTGTGCATGGACCTAGATGTGCGTATGTATATATGTGTCTGTACATGCAGGCGCATAGAGGTATTCTGTACACATATGCGCATGTTTATATGTTTGTGTATATATGTATATATGTAATGGAATATGTGTGTATGTATCTGTGTATGTACGTGCATGTGTGCACGTGTATACGAGTGTTTGTATATGTGCATTCACATATATGCACATGTGCATGTATGTGCATACCTGCATGCATGTATATATGTATGTGTGCATGAATATTCATGTACATGTGGCACACATTTCTATATGCATGTACGTGTATATGGCATGTTTACACATGTGTGTATATTTTAATGTTTTAAGATGTGTGTATGTGCACACGTGTGTTCATGTGTATATACGAATTTGTGTATGTATATATGTGTTTGAATGAATATGTGTGCTTGCATATCTATGTAGGTATGCATATATGCATGTTGATATGTAAATGTATGCATGTGTACATGTGTATGCATGTGTACATATATGTACACATATCCATGTACATGCATATGTATATGCATGTGTGTATGTGTATATGTGCAAGTGTGCATTCATGTCTATGCATGTACAGTTATATGTGTTTGCATATGTGTGTATGTGTATATATGTATGTCTGTATGTGTATGTATGTGTGCATGTATGTGTATATGCTTTTGCATATGTGTGAATGTCTATATATGCATGCATGTGCATGTGTATGTATGTGTATTATGTATATATGTGCATGTGTTCATGCATATATGTGTGGATGAACATGTGCATGCATATGTGTATATATGTATATGTGTACAGGTGTGTGCTTATGTGTGCTATGTATTTGTATGCATGTATGTGCACATGTATGCATATCTGCACATGCATGTGTGTGCATGCATGTATGTGTGTGCGTGTGCATGTGTATGTGTGTGAATCTGTATGTGTGCATGTGTATGTGTGTATGCATGTATGTATGTGTGTATGTGTTAGCATTCTTACTGGGTACACCATCATTTCCTAGCATCAAAACGTCATCTTTCTTAGATTTGTTCAAACTTGCTTCTCAAAGACGTGAGACTGTACTGGCCAAGTGGAACCTCTTGTTCTATGTGACTATTCAACTCAAGTTCAGGAGCAGTAAACTCGCAGTCAGGGCAATTCCTGTTTCACCAGGCACACATGGAGCGCTCTATAGTCACACTAACAGCTAGGGTACTGGACAGTGCACACCTACAATATTCCCTCACTGAGAACATTCATTCTCTCACAGTGTTATCAGACCAGACTGAGGTGGCAGGTGGCACGGTTTACCTAGTTTGCGCTGACATTGGCTCCAGGCATTCAGGGTGTCAGGTGTGACTGGTGACTTCTTATCTGCCTCATCAGTGACTGAAGATGTTGTGTTCCTCCCCCCTCCCCACCCGTGCTCCATTCATGTGGGGCGTCTCCATCTCCAGGCTTCACACCCACAGGGAGGGACCGTGGACATTTATTCTGAAGACATGGCCATCACTTGGGGACATAAGGCTGAGCTACCTGTACAGGGCTGTCCAGAACTGTGGTAACTTTAAGAAACATTCCACCTGTTTTGTAAATTAACTCAGGGTCAGGGTAATGTGATGGATATTGAAGCAAACATTTTTAGTCTTGAGGGTTTCTGTTACTAAGTTTCACTGAAAACAGAATGTGTGTATGCATACTGATTCAGCGTTTTGTTTTTTAACCTGAAAAATCTGCAGATGGACTTTGCATTTTGTTTGGAGTTGTTTTGGTTTTTTAAAGACTATCTTTCACTTATGCTTTAGCATTTAGTACATGTATACAATGTATCTTGAGCCTCTCCCACACCCAACATATCCCTCTCCAACCTTCATGTTTCATAAAATTTTGCAGCTAACAACAGTTGTTCGCATTCTACAGAACTCCACCTGAACAGCATCCAGAGAGAACTTAAAATGTAACTCCAGGTAAACTTGACCAAAGACTAAACCTCTCAGTTGCACTGGCTCCCTGGCTGTCACTCCCCCACATCCTGACATCAGATCAGGCCAAGGTGAGGAAAGCCTCATTCAGTCAAAGAGGCATCAAAGCCAACGGCTGAACGAAGTCATAGCTCTGGACATTTCAGCTTCCTGGTATTGGGTGTATCAGGTCTTGCGAACCAACCATTCGTGTGAACAGTGGGCCCTTCTCTTGAGTATTAGGGTTTTCAAAAGCTTTTAAAACTCTTGGACTCCAGCTTTGATCCCATCCTGCTCTATCAACTGCAGCTTTGGCATGGCAGGCTGGGTCCTACTGCATCCTTGGGGAGCCTGCAGGTACCTTTCCACAGGACCCCTCTGGGGCCGAGCAGCGTATGCAGCTGAGGGCAGCTTCCGCCTGACTCTTTTACTCAAGAGATGCTGGTAAAGATCTAACTGCCTCCCGGAGAGGTGGAAGCGGCATCTCGGGGCCTGCAGCATCTCACTTACTTTGACCACATCATCCCTGAGAGAAAGGAGGGCACCTGCTGCTCTGAGCCCCACGATTCTGACGCATTACAGGCCAATCCTGGAAGGGCAGCTCTTCTTGGTGCTCCCGAGGCAGCTGCAACTGCCGTTGCTCATGGCCCCAGCTTTTCTGCTGCTGTCCTTGAAATAGTGAGTGGTGGTCACAGGCCAGCTGCTGCTGGTTCGGCCTCCGCACACAGCCCGTGAAGACGCCATGGCTTGCTGCCTTGCCCCTGTGTCGGCCTGTCCCTCTGGCACTACTGCCCGATGTAGGAAGAGAAAATATTGCTTGTCTTCCAGAGTCTCCTCTAGGCTCCTAAGTGCCACTCGGTGTTATTTTAACGCCTGGGACCTCAGAGTCACGGGAGCCGTTCTGTCTTCCTGAAGCCTCCTGCGCCTCCATGAAAGAACAGGCAGCCCGACCCAAAGGCACCACCTGGGCTAAAGAGATTTGCCCAGTAGTGTCAGTGGAGGTGGGGCCTGAGCATCCTGGTGGCCTGGAAGCAGATAGCCTTGGAACTCACACAGACCCCTGGTGGCAAAAATTCACTGTCTCTCTTTAGGTGGTGGTCTGGTTCTTTAATTTTGCAGCCAGTCTTCAACACAGGCATGTAGCTCTGGAGCTGCTTCCACGGTGCTTCTCCGGTTGTAAACTCAGGCTAAGGATTCTCTTCAAGCGTGTTGAAGCATCGTCAACGCATCGTTGACGTTCTGTGTCACAGTTTTCTTTTCCCGTTTTCATATTTTGGTCCCTTACTGGGCTGTGGGACGTCACATGGAGCCTATAGTTTCTGTTCTTTCTGGCCAAAGGAACGATTCTGTCTTCTCCCGGTATTGAGATGTGGGACAAATAACGAGTAGAGTCACTTTTCTGATTATAATGCAATTATTATTAGCGACTTGATCTTTCTGAGTTCCTGTTTTCTTCATCTGAAGTTTAATTTCCTTAAATTAGCCCCACTCATGGCAGGAGGCCTCAGCAAGGCACCAGGTTAGCCGGAGCTGCTAAGGCTCAGCGCTACACACAGTGGGTTCGAGTCAAGCTCACGCCCGGATTAGTGAGGTACTCTCAGTTTTTCCTTACAGCTCAGCTTTATGAATGTTACTGAACAGCCTCAATGTGAAGACGTACTCAAAAATGAGCATCAAACCTGCCTTCTAAAAGAATATGCAACATCTGGAACACAAGATCTTGTGTTCCAATTAATCAGGATAAAATGCTAGCTGGTGTTCCTGCCTAGCCCTGCCCAGTTTGCAGTGGGTCTTCTCTGCTGTTGGTAGATGAGACTAACCTTTTCCTCTCCCAGCAACACTATGCATTGCTGTGGCTATCCTTGGCTGCCCAAGGCCAGTCCGGTGAGGCAGGAAGGCCCTGCATCATCCCGCATTGTTTTATAAGAATCCAGGGACTAAAAGGCTTTCAGAAAGGGATGCCCATAAATTTCAGAGATCAAAGCACAAATGCCAGTCATTGGCTTGCCTGTTACATGTAAAAAAAAATGAAGGGAGTGCATATTTACAATGTTAGATCACAGAATCATTAACCTCAGTGGATGCATTCTACCAGGCTTCCAAGTGGGATCAGCCTTGGGCCTATGTGTTAGTTGGGAGCAGATGGGATGTGAGTGGCTGTGCTATGGTGCATGTTGATGTTGGGGTACAATGAGCCACCCCTCACACCAGGAATGCCCTCCCTTGAACCCCTCTCCTGCCACACAGGAGGCTCCAAATGCTGTACAAGTCGGAGGTGAGCCACCTGGCAGACTTCCTTCCATCTGGAGAGTGGACCAGACTCTCCTGAATGAGATCTAACAACAGAGGTTGGGATGTGGTCAAAAAAGAGAACCTTACTATCGTTTCTGTATGGTTCTGTGTGGAATGGGGCACGCAGGTATGTGCTCTGTAGGAGGGTGTCCAGCCGTGGGTTAGATTAGCCGGGGTGGTGCCAGGGCACCCTGGGCCGAGGCTCTTGGTCACACTGGTCCCTTACTCAGGGAACACTGAGTCACAGTGCTGGTAAGAGTGGCCAGCTCATACGGACTTGCTGGAACTTTCCAGGGCTTATTACAGAGGACCCTGGTGGTTAAAGGTCTATTCAGCACCCTTTTTAGTTTGGTTGGCTGCATCTGTATGTTGCAGAGGTAAGGGCCATTTATACACAGCTCTGGTTTTGGTTTTGGGTGGGGCTTGGCCCAGTGAGAGGTTCCACATCTCCCAGTGAAGTGGTCTCCAGGAGAACCCCATCCCTGTGAGCTTTACCGTCAGTGTGGCAGGGCCTTGAGCAGACAGGTCTCCATTGCTGAGCCTGGGAGAGCTCCTAAGATCCCTGCTTCAGGACTCTGCCTGGCCCCAGGAGGGAGACAGCAGGAGGCCTGTGATCTGATGCTTAAAGGCAGTTCTGCAGCCCCTGATGGAGGAGGGGCTAGGTATGAAGAAGGCAGTGTGGCCACCACACAAACTCCTAATCCCAGGCTGGGGATCTGAGTCATGGTCCAGAAAACCTCCTCGGTGTTTACAGAGGGACCGAGAACATTCTGTCTCCAAGGAATTACCCTTCAGACTCTTGATGGCTCATTAAACGGTAGGAGAGCTTTAAATAATTTTATCTGAAATCTGAAGTACCCTATGAGCAGGAGAAATGTTTGGCTTCATTTTTGTAGTGTTGAGAGATGTCTTTGATTTCTAGTGCTTGCTAATCTTTTCGTTTTCCTGAGTACAGGTAATTCTATTATAAATTAACAAGGGAAAGTAACCGACAGTGGGGTTTTAATTGCACATAATTACTTGGTATGCCCGAGTATTTTACAATTGAGATAATTTCCCTGAAAGTGTTGGTGTTTAGGGAGCAGAGTTTATGGTGATTCCTTATGTTCTACCAACTGCTCGGTAATCTTTAAAACAAGGAAGTGGAGGCAAAGTAAGAAAGCGACACATGAAAGCGTTTAAAATGTTATCTGTTTGTCTTCGTTTCAATAGGAATCCAAAACAAAGTTAATCTGATCAACCAGGATCAATAGAGGGGTGAAGATTCACATTTCTTTGAAGCTGGTAGAGGCAAGGAGATAATCCTTCCCAACAATGGAGGCTTTTAATTCTCAGGCTCCGCACTGAACGCCATTGTGAGTGGGATTTGCCAGTTCAGGTTTGCACTCGGATACTGGAGCAGGTGCCTTGAAGCAGGAAAACGCCTGTGATGATACCTTGCCGCTGTGGGTAAGTGAAAGTCACTTTTAATCCCGCGTAACATAGACCATAACTTGGATTCTGCCATCATCTTCGGCAGGTACCTCTTACCTAGCCACGTGGTATCTGACTGCAGAGACCTGGGGACAAGCAAAGGCAGGTTCACTTTCAAATCTGAAAGACAAAAGCTCATTGACAAAATTCTAACCTGCCCATGAAGCTATGGGGACAAACATTTCAGGAGCAACTGTGGTAGAAATGTTCTTTTAAGGCTGAGCGCCCTGATCCCTCAGCCCTGCACAGGGAACAGACCTTCCTGCCGTGCCTACCATAGGCAGCTACTGTCAGGAACCCAGGAGGGTCTGTATTTCTAACCTCCTATGAAGAGGGACTGGCAGGCCTGTCCACTCTCCATTTCTGTCCCATCATGGGCCATGCGAGGGCAGCAACCTCGGGGAGCCTCTCTGTAACAGAGAGGTCCTGAGGGTCCGAGGGGAAATCGCGCAAGTGTCACATATGAGGGTTTTTTAAAATATATTTTATTATTTTTATTTTATGTGAATTAGTGTATTGCCAGCAAGTATGCAAGTTCACCAATGTCGTGCAAGGCCCACGGATATCAGAAGAAGGCATTGCAGACCCTGGAACTGGGTCAGCGTCCAGTCTTAAATAGCTGAGAATGTCCTTGAACTCTAGATTTCCACCTCCTGAGTGCTGGGATTACAGGCGTAGGCCACTATGGCCAGCTTCTGAGTTCTTTCCTCCAGGATCATTAGTAAGCAAGGTACCATGGATGCGTGTGTGGTGCCCACTAAGCAAATGGCCCCTTAGGTTCCTGCTACTGTTTTGTTTGCACATGTGGTTTTAAAAAGAATTTGTGCATTTATTTACTTAATTTATGTGTAGTTCAGTGTGTCGACTGTGTAGGTGTCCATGGAGTCCGGAAGAGTGCACCAGGCCCCAGAGCTGGAGTCACTTGTGAGTCGCCTGATATGAGTGGTAGGAACGGAACTGTAAGAGCAACAAGTGCCCTTACGTGCTGGGCCTGCTTTCCAGCCCCTATGCAGGTGGCGTTAGCTGTAGAGTCAACCAGTAGCACGTCTACATGGCACACCAGTGCTGTATTGATGCTCTTTTCCTGGGCTTTTATGAATACTCAGACCTTCTAGCTTCTGGACTCACATGCAGGTATTGGATCATTTTAAAACATCTGTCTTCCTCATTCCCCTGGCTCTGCCATTTTGAAATCTCCTTTGGAGGCTAAGGACACGCCATCTGGCCATGGTCTCTTTCAACAGGAGTTACTCTGTGGGCCAGTTGTTCCCTGCCTGGCTGATGCTGGTACAGGCTGCTGGCTTTGTCCTGTGGGTTTTGTATGTCGGGTGTCTCAGGCAACAGCCCTCCTAGCTTTCCTCTGGGACCTGCGAGCTGACTCTGTTTTCTCTTCAAGGTTCTCCTCTGGGTTAAAGATTTTCTTTCTACTTCAAGCCTGTCCTTTTGGAATCCTTTGTTTCTGCGCCGCGTCAGGAAGTCCTTGGTGTGTAGATGAACCCACCTGATGGCGCACAGGCCACCGGCTCTGGTGAGGTCCCCAGTCCCCTCCAGTCATTTGCTGGACTAGGGGAGGGCTGCATCCCATCTGAACAGTAACATGCGTTTGATTCTCCTATAAGTCTGAATGATGGTGTTTTCAGAGGATTCTGGGAGCCTAGTCATGTATTCTCTCCAGACTAACTGATTCACAACAGCCGCTGGGTGACTCTCTCCACAGAAGACACATCTTCAGCTGTGTGTCTTACAGGCTGTATGCAGAGCTAGACTTTACGTGGGAGACCAAGACAGGGCAGCTGTTCTCTGAGGACACGGAGGTGAAAAGGTTGGCTGCCACAGCTGCCAGGGCAGCCCACTTTCCAATGGTCCTGGTCCTTCATCCCCACAGTCAAGGACTCCAAGAGAGCAGAAGACCTAGGGTCCCATGGGGACCCCACCATGGCTCTGACCTTCCCCTTCACTGTGTAAGGGCTAGTTTCTGAATCTTTGCTCTCAGTGGGCATATTCCAAAATTGGTGCCCAGCTCAAACTGAAGATTTTTATGCTTTCCCCTAAAAGACCCGACTTTTGTGGGTGAGGGCTGAGCCTTGGGAGAGCACCCATAGGACTGACATGAATTAAAACAAATCCTATTCCTGAGCAGGACCCTTGCAAAGCTCTTTTACAGCTGCAAGGCCCATGCCTCACTCATACAACCCTGGGAAAATCAGCCCAGCACTGTTGCTGTGAAGCCCAGAGCCAGTGTACAGCATGTCCCAGCCCCACTGGTTCCAAGGAGCCTTGAGGAGACGCTCATCCCAACGTGCCTGACAGCAACCACATAGGAAAGACCACAGGTGTAGGGTCTTTGACCTACCCAGTCATGTGCCTAGGACCGGAGCGCAATATTAACTAGACACATGCCCTTTGACTCCTATTTTTCAATCGTAAACTACAGTGTCTCAAGCCTGATGATGTGAGAGGGGCTGCAGTTCTGCATAATCCTGTTCAGCAGTGGTCTTGGGCCCCCAAAGCCCATTAGCTCTCTGGTCACAAAAGGAAGATTTGTCCCCCCTCCTGGGTTTGCTGACTACCATCTGTGCCTGAGGTACTTTAGTTGTGGGGGATGGGGAGGGATGAAGACAGGCATCTCCCTTTGCTGAGGCCAGTAGAGGCAGTGGATCACAAGCTGAGGATTCCTGTTTTCAGCAGGAACCAGACGCATCTTCAAGTTCAGGGACACTCTGTACCCCTTGCTGACCTCCTTCCTTCAGAGCAATGGGGTGTTTTCACAGTGGGGTGCAGTACTTGAAAACTTGCCAAAGTCAAATTTTAACCTCTGTAGCTTAGGTGCTCAGAAAGCTCAGTGCTCTGTGTCTGACCCCTCCCGTGCCCCGGGCCTCTGGTAGCCACTCTCCTGTCTCTGTGATTTACCTCTCCCTGAATGCCATGGCAGTACAATCCTGCTCCACGTGTCCCAAGCACTTCACATCAGCTCCTCTCACCGAGGAATGTACACTTAGGGTTCCCATCCTTCCGTAACTTTTCCTGGCTTTGAATGGTGATTCTGTTTCAGCACTGAACACTATTTCATGTCTGGATGCTACATGGTTGATTTATTGACTCACCAGTGGAAGGACATCCTGATTGCAAGTTAAAATCTCCCCTCTCTCTCTCTCCTCTCTCTCTGTAGGTGTGGGTACCCACAGAGGCCAGAAGAGCTCATCACATGCCCTGGAACTAGAGCCACAGGCAGCTCTGTGCCACCTAATATGGACACTGGGAACTGAACTCCAGTCGTCTGCAAAGCATACAAGCGCTTTTGATCCTTGAGCCATCCCTCCAGCCCTGCTCCTTCAAGTTTTACAGAATTTTAGTTAAGCATCTGTCCTAGTTTGTTCTTCATTGCTGTGACAAAACACTCTGACCACTACCAACTTGGGGAGGAAAGGGTTACATCTCCCAGGTCGCAGTTCATCAAGGAGCCCAAGGTAGGAACTCAGGGCAGGAACCTGGAGGCAGGAGCTGGAGCACAGGCCATGGAGGAACGCTGCTCAGTGGCTTGCTCCCCTGGCCCCTGCTCAGCCTGCTTTCTTATACATCACAGGCCCACCTGCCCAGAGGTGGCACCACCCACAGTGGGCTGGGCCCTCCCACATCACTCATCAAGAAGATGCCCCTCAGTCATGGCCACAGGCCAGTCGTATAGAGGAAATTCCCCAATTGAGGCTCCCTCTACCAGGTGTGTCAAGTTGACAGTAAAGCTATCCAGCACAGCTTCCATTAACACCCACGTTCAGGTTTGTATGGCTAGACATAAGTTTTCAGATCCTTTGAATACATACCAAGGAGTGTGTTCTCTGGATTGTAAGAGTGTTTTGGGTTTGTGAAAAATGCTGAGCCATGGCCCTTAGTGGCAGATTGGCCTACAGCAGCACCAGCACAGGCTGGGCATTGCTGTTGCTCCGCACCCTCTGAGCATTCAATGTCCTCGGTGCCCTGCCTGGGTGTCTGGGCCATTGTAACAGGTGGGTACTGGCTCCTCACTCTTTTTAAAAGACTTACTTGTTATTATTTTGTATGTATGAGTGCTTGCCCACACGTATGTAAGTGCACCTGTATTGTGGCAATGCCAAAAGCCACCAGAAGAGGGCTTTGGAACTGGAGTTACAGACAGTTGTAAGCTTTCATGTGGGTACTAGGACTTGAACCTGGTCCTCTGCAAGAGCAGCCAGTGTTCCTAACGGCTGAGCCAAGGCTCCAGCCCATGGTATCTCCTTTTGCGTCTCGTTTCCCTGACATTATAGGACGTGACACATCTAGTCTCACGCTTACCTCCATCATCCTGTCTTCTTTGGTGAAATGGCTGTCAAGGTGTTTAACCCAGTTTCAGATTGAGTTGCTTCTTTTCTTTCTTTTGTGTCTTTTGAGGTCATGACGGTTTTGGGCACTGAGGTGTGGGCCTCTGTAAAAAGTGTCCTTTGTGACTATTTTCTCACGTCTCTGCCCCTTTCCAGTCACTTCAGAGTGGCTTCACAGAGAACAATGTCTAATCTTAATACAGTTCTATCAGGCTCTTCATCCTTCACCGTGGCTTTTTGTCCTTCCGGTCCCTCAGCCTTTCTTTGGGAGTGTGAAAACACCAGACACAGTGCCAAGCACACACTGCACCCCTGACCTGGCGCGGGTTCCCCCCCTCCGTATAGCTCTCAGTCTCTGCCTTCAATCATTGGTATTTAAAGTGGTCATTGATGCAGATGTGCTCATGTTGTATCACCTTTATATCTGTATTTTCTGCCTGTTTTCCTCTGTTTTCTGCCTTTTGTGGTTTAAGTGGAGCATTTTACGCGTGGTTTTATTTTTTCTTAATATACTACTTTTAGTTTTCAAAACTAGTGACTATTGTAAAACTTGCAGGACTTTTTGTGATCCTTGTTTTGGTCTCTCACTGTGCCCCTTGCTCCAGGCTTTTCCTGTTTCTGTGGCTCCTGAGGAAGAGTCCTGGTATCATCCCTAGTTTTGCTCCTGGGCCCTGTGTCTCTCCACTGCCTGATGTCTTTCAGGATGTTTCTTTCATCCCTGCTTTTCTGTAGGGTTAGCATAATATGACTAGGTGTTGACCTTTTGTCTCCCCTCC